CCCCATGCCCACAGTTAAATATACTGCTGGATCTTTAATTTTGGTGGCCTATTTTTCTGCCAGAGGTCCTGGACATCTTGTTCAGATATTGGCATCATGGATCCTATCAAATGCCAACAGATAAAAAAATCTAAACCAGACTGTCTCTATTAGAAATCTTATAATAGGCCGTGGTTGGATCTTCCATCAGGACAATGATCCAAAACAAACATCAAAATCAACACAAAAAATGTGTCACTGAGCACAAAATGAAACTTCTGCCATGGTCGTCCCAGTTCCCTGACCTGAAGCCGTGGTTGGATCTTCCATCAGGACAATGATCCAAAACAAACATCAAAATCAACACAAAAATGTGTCACGGAGCACAAAATGAAACTTCTGCCATGGTCGTCCCAGTTCCCTGACCTGATCCCTGTAGAAAATGAGTGGGGTGAACTGAAGAGCAGAAGCACCAACATGGAGCTGTGAATCTGAAGGATCTGGAGTGATTCTGAATGAAGGAATGTTCTCTGATCTCTTGTCAGGTGTTCTCCAAACTCATCAGGCATTAGAGATAAAACTCAGAGCTGTTATTTTGGGAAAAGGATGTTCCAATAATTGGGTGCCAATAATTATGGCTAATGTGAACTAGAGAAAAACATTTATTTCACAATAAGATTTTCCATCCACTTTCCATTGTTTTACTTCAATGATAGGTTTATCACGAGCCGCAGGGTTTAATTTGGATTTGTCTGTGCATGTTTTTTTTACTCTCATAGATTTTGTTACCATTGCCATGCATTATACGACTGATAGACTGCAACGGTTGGAGTTAAAAATCATCATATGTGTTCTACTGAAGAAACAAAGTCACCTACATCTTGGATGCCCTGGGGGTAAGCAGATAAACATCACATTTAAATCTTTGGGTGAACTATCCCTTTAAGAAAGAAGCATTGATAAGCTTACCACAGGTTTGATTTGCTGAAGAAATTCAGTCGTTTTCCAACAGCCCCTTTCTTGCTCTCAAAAATGTCCAGAAATCGTGAATCATGTTGATCGAGTGCAGAGAAAAAAATCTTGCTTGAGGTTTTTGCTTGCAGTTCCATTAAACTCAATTGATCTGTAAAAGGAAACAGAAAAGTATATTAGGCTTTTTGTTACTCTTTTAAAGGGATACTTGCAAATTGTTTAATTTACTCACACTCATGCTCTCCTAGATTCACATGACTACCTTCAGATTTATACATGCTTTTAGCAAGTGCTGTGAAAGCCTGTGTGGAGTCTTAGTGTGACATTCACATCCAGAGAAAGCAAGAGAAAAGGCTCATTAAACTTCCAGCTAGTTTTATCAGCGAGATCCCTCTGAAGCTGTCGGATGACAGGGGTGGAAGAGCTCCTATAGATCTGACTTCTAATTACGACCACTTCCGAGCAGGAACTGAGACGTTTTTGGAAGACTTTAAAGGGATAAATCAACCAAAGCCTAACCACTCTTTTCCATACAATGAAAAGGAATCGAGCTATCAAGCTCCAAAATGGCAAAAAGCATAATAAACCTGGTTCATAGTACAGTCCCAACCATCTATACTAATATTGGCACCCTTGGTAAATATGAGCAAAGGTGGCTGTGAAAATAAATCTGCATCGTTTACTTTTTTGATGTTTCATT